GTAGACAATTGAGTTCTCTGGAACAAGTTATAGACTAATTGTATCCTGTAGTTCTTTTCAGTGTAGTTCTCTAAATCTGATCTCTGTTACATACAATAAACACAAGTATTGGTATGGGAAAGCAGTGAGACCATGCCTAAACATTTGTTTTCCCTTGCACAATCCTTTGCTTCTAAGAAATTGTGTATCTTGTTTTCTGTAAGTGGGTGGGCTGCAGCAATGTCCGTCTTTTGGCAGAGCAAAATAAATGTGAACTTGGGTTAAATGCAGTAACTTTACTATGAAAAGATAATGGTGAAAACAGTATATGCAGCATAAACGGTGGTACCATGTAGCTTCTTGGAAGTGGTGTGGTGGTTTTCCTAAAAGTCACTGATTGCACGCCCACTTCCACTGGTCCTCTAAAAACAAAAAAATCACTTATGCTTTAGGTTCTGTATCATCATAATCTTACAGTTTCAGCTCATTTCCCATTCTAGCCACCCCTTCCCACTTAAAAAGGCAAAACAAACAAAAGCAGCAACATTTTAGACATCTCCTGTTAATAATAACTTCCAAATGGAAATCAGTTGCAGCTGGTTCTTCACACTTTAACCCTTTGTCTGCTGGCCTTCCAGGAAATAATTGATGACTGATTGGCCCATTAACCTTTTTTTAAAAAAGAAGTTTGACAGCCTGGACTTGTGTAATGAGGAGGGATTCCTAGTGAAATCAGGTTGATGGCTGAGTTTCTTGCCCCTAAGGATGCAAAATTAGCCCCGTGGGACCTCGTCTGCATAGAAACTGGACACAATTAGTGTAATATCCGGTGTTATTAATGTAGTTTGGAGTAATTGGGCAGGTTGATTTCGACAGGTTGATGGTGCTAAAATACTATTATAGTGGACCTTTCTATGAATAACTGTTAAACATGGAAAACTGTTTAATAAAATTTTGTGATTGGGCTCACAGGGATTTAAATAGCACAACCTATAATTTTTCTGAAGAGTAAAACTGAACAATTTCATTCTGCTGTCTGGATTTTCCTGTTCGTGTATGCGGTGATTAAGGACGTGCACGTTTGCTACTCATCTTTTGTAGGCATTGCCCTGTGGGTGACATGGAGCAGGCGTTGCTGCTTTGTTTCACAATTGTGCTTACCAAAAAAAAAAAAAAAAATCAGTGTATTTAAACAGAAAATGTATTATTGAACACATCTTCAACTGGCACAGTTGCTTTTCATCTGAGCTTTTTAGGGAGTAAACCTGAAGCTTTAGTGGATATAGGAGAGCGCAAACTTGTATGTTCTTAATGTATCATCAGAAATGACCAAGTTTTCAGCTAACTTACTGATGAACTGAAAATGTCCTTCCAGCCCAGCCTTAAAACACACATTCTAGCCCTCATAATCCATGGTGGGGCTGTGCTGGGACAGACTCACCGGCGTGTTACGTGGACTTTGTGATCCTGAGGCACAAAGGCTGTGCAAGGTCTTTACAGCTTTTGTCATGGTGTCAGCTGGTCACAGCAGAAAAGGTCAGCAGATGAAACATGGGAGCCTCTCCCTTAGGAAAAGGAGACTTGGTGTATGGAAGAGCAAGCATGGGAAATGGCTGGAGGTGTTTCCTGAATTGCACTCCAGTCGCCTGAATAACGGGGTTTGTGTCCTCCACCATAGGTCTCCCATAAGCAGGGAAATAATTTTGTGTAGTGTTTCTGGAAAACAAAGCTTGCAGATGTACCACTGCAAGACAGTATTTCAACCTCACTTCTAAACAGTATGCTGGCTGAATTGCAGAGTTTATTTCTCATAAGCCCTTCTTGGGCAAACCAGCTTCATGTATACAATCAGGATTATTGGCAAATAGGAGGATTCAATGATGCTGCATCTTGATTGTATGTATTTCTTTTAGTCTGGAATTGTAATGCTGGAAAGTCACCTAGTACTTAAATGCTGGGATGAACTGATACAGGATTAGTGCAGAGAGACTCTCTAAAGATACACCATATGTACTTGTTGAGTATTAGTTATATACCACATGTACTTGTTGAGTTGTTAATGCATTGAGAAGTCAGCCCTGCCACGTGCACTGGAGAAGGCTCCTCTCTCATTGTGCTCTTCTGTGTCTTTGCATCCCTAGAGGCCCTCCTCCCTACTTGAAAAGGAGGTGTGGGGAATTTTTAACTTGAGGTGGCAAGATGACTGTTTTCTCTAGTAGGCAGCTCCTTCAGCTTATACTAAGCCTTTGGCTTACATAGAAGTGCTATGGTGTATGGTCAGGGGAGAGAGGTGCAGGGAAAATACGATGCAGCCTGGAGGAGAGCTGTGAGTGGAGAAGGAAAGGGCTGAAGGAGAAGGGCATGAGGTGCAGAACATGGAGTGAGGCTGAAAAGGGCCTTTGTGTTACTGCCTATTGCAGCATCCCTGCTGTAACAATACGTGTGTCTCAGTACCACCCGTGCTGAGTAATTCATATAGAAGGATTTTCTGAACATTTAGTGACCATCATTTGGAAATCCTCCTTTAGTAAGATTTCAGGAATACAAAGTTTTATCACTTAGAAGCCATTGAAAAGCCTAAGAACAATGAATTTCCTAAGTTAGACTCTACAGGGGGCTGCCTCAGGTGGGATTCAGTTTTTCATGTTCTCTTGCTTCACCATCATTCCCTGTTCTTGTCAACATATGCATAGTTCTGCATATGCCTGTACCCTCCCCACTGACCGTATACCATACCACTTCTTTGTAAGCAGAAGACCGTAGCTGTGTTGTTCTACAGGAGACAGTGCACAGGACTGAATGTAATTTCCTTTATTGTTGAGTAGTTCCTCTTATATCTTCCTCATAATATCTTGAAAGCTCTGTTTGATAAATGTGGCTTTTTCCATGATTTAATCATAGCATTTTGGATAATGAGTCTACATGTTTTTTTTTTTAACACAGTGTTGCTAAAATGGAAACGTAGTTATAGCTGTACAGTTGCATCATTTCTCTTATCTTTGTTTTCCTTCTTATCCCATACACTATTTTTTTTTTAGTAAAACTGCTGCTTCAGGTGCCCTCATGCACCTGGAAATAACCTTCACCTCTGTGTTTATTCTCACCTCAAGGTGCAAAGTAACCTTCTACTGTTTTTTGAGACTTCATTAAAGCAGTGTAGGCACTGGCCTTGCTAGCATGGAGTTTATCAAGGAAAACCAGTTACCCCACAGGTTGAGAAAATGACTGCCAGTGAGCAGCAGTACTGTCTTTAAAGCTAGTGCTAGATTTGTCACTTATCTTTGCATGCTTATGGATGACAAGGTAATGCAGGAGTTTCATGGCTCTGAATATATAATAAGTCATTAGCAGACAAGCGAATGTAAATGCTCTTTCTAAAGCCCATTATGGCTGATGTTCACCAGAACTTTATGCTCTATTATTCTGTTCCTTTCATGCTTCATGCCTGCCCTTCCTAATTCCACTGACTCTGTTTCAGCTTCCTTGATTTTTTTTTTTAATTTGACTTTTGTGTCCCATGTGTAGTTGGAGTGTGTCCATTTAGTTCAGTTCTGCTGGTATTTTCATACGCTGCGGTCTTCTGGCCTGAATAGTTGTCCTTATACTCTAGTAGCCCTAAGGATATTTCATTGACCCTTTCTGCTAGCTCCTCAGATCATTTTCTCATCTCCCGTGTCGAACGTGAGTGTTGAATAGGTTGAACTGATTTTAATCGTGTATTATATATAACCCAATGTATTTATGCTGTAGACAAGAAAATGTACACGTCCACTTTTAATACATCTGTACATGTAAACAAGTACTTGAAGGAAGAGGGTAAATTGTCAAATTTTCTGTATTGTCAGCTCTTTATGGCCCATTCATCTTTAAAGTTATTTTGTGGCACACCGGTTTTTACGTTATGTAGCTCTTAGCGCCTCAGGTTTAAGTCTAAATAATGCTTTCTAGCCACTTTGTGTTTGAGAAAGGTATACACTCAATACCAAACTCATAAGTGGACACAGGAACTGAATATTTACCCAAAACAGTACTTCATCTACATAACATTTGGAGAAAAAAAGCAGTGGATCCACAGGTCATTTTCTGATGGGTTGTGCAACTGCAGGGTAGTTGGATGTATCTAGCCTCAAACCTCAAATGTCCAGACCTGCATTTGTTTTTTACGTTGCAGAAATGTTCATCAACCAAGATTGCTTAGGCCTAGCTATTGATATCCTTAAACTTTTCTTCCTATTGCATGTTTTTTTCAGAACAAGAAGAAAACTTTGAGTTTATCATTGTCTCTCTCACCGGCCAGACTTGGCACTTTGAAGCTACCACATATGAAGAAAGAGATGCATGGGTACAAGCCATAGAGAGTCAGATCTTGGCCAGTTTACAGTCATGTGAGAGCAGCAAGAACAAGGTATGGTACACAGAGTAATACTGAAAACAATGGTTGGTTGAGCTTTAAAAGGAAAGCAAAATCAAGAACTTTGAATTTTAAACCTGTGCTCCTAGAGACATGCAGGTATTAGGCACATGACAGAGCATCATTAGAGCTGCATGTATATCTCAGATATTTCAAGACAGCTGGTGCTGTAGCCTGTTTTACAGTTCATTTGTTACAGCAATTGAATAAATGAAGCTCCTGGATTATCTGTTTTGCCTTTGGTATTGCTCTTAAAATTTTGACTGAAACTTGGGGCTAGGTCATGGACTCTCCCTACTGAGAAGTTGTATAGTGTAGTCACTGCAGCAGATTCAGGTTTGTTTCAGGTTAGAGTTCTGCAGAAGGCCCTTGAGGACAAGCCTGTCTTGGAGAAGAGTGGATGCAGACCCAAAACCCAGCGTATTAGTAGTCAAATCTCTACTTAAATCTACTAAGCTCCTGCATGGCAAAATTTAAATGTGCTGGTTGGCCTAACCATAAATGTGCAGTAGCATTCAGCCATAGGACTCTGCCGTGATGAAGTAATACAAATCACAGAAATCAAAATTAGGCTATTGCTTTTGTGTCTGTTGCTTTATAAAGCATATGCACAATTTTTCTTTAATTACACTGAATTAATTTTTTTATGGTTTTCTGCCTTAACTAATATAGCAGAAAGCAAATCCAGAAACAGTTCATTAAAGGTTTTTGGGGCAAGGTGAACATTGTCTAAGAGGTACAGGCGTTCTACCTTGCAATGCTTTCATATCATGACAGAAGTAATTTGTTCTTTTTTCTTGTCTAAATAAATAAATAAGTGTTTAAAATCTGAGACTTCTTCAGCCATTGCTCATTTTTGGGAGGGCAAGAGAACTTCTGCTGCTGGAGTGTCTGTGTTTGCAAACACTTCACAACTAGAGAGCAAGGTGTTGAGTGGTAGTGGAGGGAGAGAAGTGAGGAGTAATTATTCAGACCCATAGATCCTTTAACATTATCCACCTAACAGATGTCTTTAATGATTTTATATTGCAAGGAGACTCATATTTTGAAATGAATGCCTGCTTTCATTCCCCTGATCTACCAGAGTAGATCAGACACCAGTAATTATAATCATAATAATATAATTTACGTCCCATTTTGTTTAAAAAAATTATTTATTTCCAGTATGTATTTCTGAGATAGAGAAAAATGGCTGCTTATATGGTTTTTTGCCTTTCATGGATTTATGCATTTGACTATGTATGTTAAGGGAGCACAGTAGAGGAAATCTGTACACTAACACCAATATAAAAATACTAATACAAAAGACTGCCTGGTAATACTTACTATGCAGTACCCAGAGAGAAGATTGGCCTTTGTGTATATTAAATATTCTTTCGAAAGGGAGAATCCATTGATAAGATTACGCGTGTACAGGGAGCTTTTTGGGTTATATATTCAGCCTGCTACAATGCTCAGAGAGGTTTGTTTATTCTCTAAAGTATTACTGAGGTCTCAAAACATGTCAGAAAAACTAGCTGGAATAGCAAAGTGTAGTTAGTTGGACAGGCTTAGTAGGTGTCCTATTGATAGATCAGGAGGACATATTTCCACATGGCCATACTTAAGACCCGGTCTTCATCCTGCTTAAATCAATTCACTGCAAAAGAGCCCATCAGTTGCTACAGCTAACATATTTCTTCTCAGAAGGCCCACAAGACAGTTTAGCTGGGTAGAACTGAACTACTTGTACATTGTGACAGTCTCTCCAGGTCCAAGTAGAGGTCATTGGCAGGTCATCGTGGAGAGAATTTAAATGGGAGCTGTCTGATTAAAGCTGACCTTTTGATGATAAAAAGGTTTCAGTTGCTTTTGCTAACCATCCCTTAGTCTTCATTAGCAAAAGCATAAACATCAATAAAATAAATAGATTTTATAAAATAATATTCTTATCTCATTTATCTCAAGAAGTAAACCTACACTGTGACCACTTTACTTGTGAATAGCAGGGTTCATTTTGAAGCTTGGTTTTCCTCTGCGCCATCTCCCCATCTGTTAGAATCCAGACTGGAGACGCCAAAACACTGGGAGCTCCTGGGCAGGGTGGAGAGAGCCCTGGGAGTAATCCTGAGCTGTCAGAAACATGGGAAGAAAGAGGAGTCCCTGCTTGGCAGGCCTGGGCTTGCAGTACTTGGAGATGCCAAAGGATCATCATTTCTTGAGAGGCAAACCAAGAACTTGGGTTCTTTGATCACATTCATTCAACCTTGATCTAAGCTTTGGGTTTTGCCATTTGTTCAGCTGACAGTTGTGTCATGTAACCCTTTTTATTGGGTTCTTATTTGTTGCTTATGCATTTCTTTAAATCTGTGCAGTCCCGCCTGACGAGTCAGAACGAGGCCATGGCCCTTCAGTCCATAAGGAACATCAGAGGCAATTCCCACTGTGTGGACTGTGAAGCACAGAGTAAGTATTGGCTGCTTGGCTTCAGAAAATTGACGACTTCTTGGCCAGGACTACTTCTTGGCCGAAACTTATGTGGACGCCCGCCATGGGCTTTGTCTTTTGCTTTATTATGTTCCATATGTTGTTTGAATGTGTCTTCTTCATTATGGAGTTTGCTTAATCAGATTTATTTTATGTTAATTCATACTTAATATATGCTGTGTCAGATGCATCCTAATTTTTTCCCCTTGTTGTTTCACATGACACTTTAAATGTCAGCATTTCTTCACTTTCCTTTGAAGAAAAGGAAAAACAAGTTTACTGTTTGACATCAGTTACTTCCGTTTTCCTCCTGCTTTGCGTGGAGAGGGCACGTGTACTGTGGTAATATTTTCAAAGAGGTAGAGTTTGATTGGGGGTTTTTTTGGTTTGGTTTTTTTTTTTTTGGTTGGTTGGTTGGTTTTTTTAGGGTTACTTGTCAGAAGAAACCAAAGTCATTGCTCATTATATCTGGATACTAGAAAACTGATTTGGGATATTTTTTTCTCCCCTTTGTGATTCTTGCCCTTTTTTTATTTTTTAAAACATACACTTAGAGTTCAGAAAAGTGTTCTTGAGAATACTTTGAGCTGCGGTTCACCTCACTAACCGCGTCTGAGGTCATTATTCTGGTGCTCTTTAGTTCCAGGGGTTTGCAACAAAGCCACAAAAAGGAAGTACTCTTGCTCTAAAGCAATTAGTTGTAGAAGCAGAAAGACTGAGAACTTGTGCATTTTTATTTCTTTGATATTTGAAAGTCAGAACTTTTCTTGTGATTTTTACATGTGCTTAAAATGGAAAAATATTCATTTATTTTTCTTTGGGTATAATTTTTTTTTTTTTTTTATGACTTGCTCTTCAGGATTTTGACTACTGGTCTAAGGCATTCTAACATCCCAGTTAACTTTAAAATCAACATTCATTTGGAAGTGCAAGTGCTTTTGTATGACTAATTTGCTATCTGAATAGTTAGCAATTCAGCTGATTCGGTCATCCACCAAACAAATCTATTATCTCCTGCCTCATCCTCAGAAGGCTTGAAGAGAAGGTGGTTAGCACATTAACAGTCATTTAAAATAGAAAAGATTTTTCCAAACCATCAAAATGTGCTTCACGTACAGATTGGTTTTAATTGCTTCTTTTGAAAACTGTCAGATGCCGTCCATAGGAGATGGATCAAGAACCAAGGCAGCTGCCCTGTCCCCGGCTGTTCAGCACACAAGGATGTGAGCCCTGGCTGGACCAGGCTTTGAGCACCAGGACTGGAGTGCTGTCAAAACAGCTTGTTGACCTGCTGGAGGGAGATCCCAAGGAGAGATTTCGCAGGGGCTTTTCACAGGCAGAGAGAAATAATAGCAACATGGATAAAATAAGGTCTTTACATGCCACTGGCTAGTAATCCAGCAGGAGATAAACAAGGGAAAATGCTGGTTTGGCTGGTATTTTAACATACACAGCCCAAAGTGAGTCTTATTTATTAGTGTTCTTTCATATTGACTCGGTGGTCATTCAAATTTCCATCAAAGCTTTGATACAGTTCGAGTAAAAGGCATATAAGATGCTGTGCTGTATATGAGAAGGACGGGGTCTTCAAGTGACCTCCATGTATATTTAGCTTATTTGAAGTACTCACTGCTGGATGTGAGCAGACCTCAATGGAAGTGTTACTGATTTCTGCTCCAGTCTGTCTGTGCAGCTGAGTGGCATTTTCCCAGACCCTGATTAAGTGGTCACCCAGGCAGAGTGGGAATGTGCAATCCCTTCACTGCAGACAACTTCCCACACCCACGCATGTCCTTTCGATGTATCTATGATCCGTTTCAGCTCTACCCAGAGTCCACGCTATCCCCAAGGTGTGTGTTTCACTCCCCAGTCTTGCATGTGCCCCAGTATTTATGCAGCCAAGCTAGACTTTTAATCAGGAAAATGACTGTGCAAGAAAGCAGCATTTTTTTCCCCCTTTCAGCCAGCTTGTTTTTCATCCAGATTGCTTCATGGGTCAAGCTGGCCACGCATGCAGGGTGCCAGCAGAAGGGATGTGCCAAGAACATGTTGCTGAGAGAGGGCAGGGTGGGACTGCCCTTTTTGGCAACACTCAGTGCTTGGTTGTGTAGCTTTTGGGTGGACGGGGAAAAAGAGGGGTGATTTCGGAATCTCAGCTGGTACATCTCTTAATTGTTTGTATTCTTGGAGATTATTTAAATCCTCTTTGACTCTTCATGCCATTTGGCCTTCCTAATTTTAAGGCCACGATCTTTCCTTTTGAAAAATTTGAGATATTTCCAAAGTGATGTATCTTAAAATGTAAACATGCGCATGAAGTGAACCTCAGCCTGCTGCTTTTTCTGCCAGGCTTTGCTTTATTTCCTTCTCTCCTTTTCTGCCTTGCCTGGGCAAGTCCTTACCCCTGGAGCATTTAGCATCACAAACACCAGTGCTCTTGTGGAAAGCTTACATAGTTTGCATCTTCACAAAGCCAGATGTTTGGGAGCAAAGGAATATGAGATGTTGCTGTCCCTCAGCTCTATTCAAGAGCCATCAATCTTCCACTTCAGAAGTCTCATTCTTCCTCTTTCTAGAGCTCTTTGCCTTTTTAGCACTTCGTCACAGCACTTTGTTTCACCAGGGAATTTGTGCCTTGTATGTTAATCAGCAGCAGTAGTGCCAGCAGCATCTGTGTGTCACCAGCCTTCTGGCCCTTTGGCAGTCCCCTTAAGTCCTTTTTTTAATGTTCCCATCCCAGAGCAATAGATGGGACAAAATACTCTTTAGATGCTGGAGTTTTTGCCCAAGAAGATCTCATTTCATGTTTCAGCAGGAAACTGGTTTTGCCTTTTCCCAGAGCATTGGAATCCCAGTGCTGACTGCTGTCTGGAGAAGGCACTGAAGATGATCAACTTGCTTAGGCAAACCCAGCTAAATTCCTGCCCCTGAAGGATTTTAGCTCTTCCAGTCTTACGGCTTAAAGAGCAAATGAGAGGGTCAATATGAGTGAGTCACTCTTTCAAGATATCTGGAGAGCATGAAATATCAGGTCTTTTCTGTTGTAGAAGAAAACAGGGAGGGATTACAGAGGGAGAGTCTCATCATGAGTTTTTCAGTCCAGGAGTCTAATAACTTACTATGGTGTATTTTGTATTTGAGAGCCAAACACTGAAGTGATAATTTGGGTGGCCCTGGGAAGCCTATCAGACCCATCACAAGAGTCAGTTTTCTATTCAGAATAGAAAAAAAAAGAAACCTTTTAAAGAATAGAGAAGATGTAAACTTTTCTCTCTTTTGCTGCAACTCTTTGCAAGATGCCTTCATCCCCTGCTTCTCCTTCTTTCCCTGTCTCTTCTGTTCTTCCCTGCTCCTTTTCTGCTCAGCCCAGCACTATCTTGAACATGCTGAACTCATCAGGATTTAGCATGGCAAGGCCTTTCATCAGCAACCTCATGTCCAAAGGGATGAAGGAGATGGTGGGAAGGGGTTATTCTCCTAAAAGAGCTGCTCCAAGAGCTTTCACCTTCAAATGATCAATCTGATTGAGGTGCCAGTCAAAGTGGGGAGGAGGTTTTTAGAGAAGAGAACGAAACACCTTTAAGAATATGGGCAGCTGAAAATTGTAATCTAGGGATATTCAGTGATGTTTAAAAGGTCATATTTTGTTTGACAATTTTAAGTAAAACAGAGAGAGAAGACTAGTTTTATAGCAGCTATAGCTGCATTGAATGGGCTATTTGCTTCTTTTACTATCAAATTTGGTTATATGCATACTGGAGAAAAGCCTGCCATGTGCTTGTAAGTATTCTGAGCATTCTCCAATTCAGAATTACTCTTAGCATCAGCAGGAAAAGTGAGCTGATTTTTTATTATCTGAAAAAGGAAAAAAACAGCTTGAATAGTTATGGCTTACTAGCCACATGTGGTTCTTTTCAGTATAAATCAGTGGTAACAAATTTGAAGCATGAGATTTAAAAGTGCTCAACTACATACGGGAAGAGGAAGATGCAGATAGGAGCAGTGAATTGAAAACAAGGACATCCCTGAGCATGTAGTTTACAACAGCTATTATTGGTGGGTAGTGACTTCTGTCATCTAGCGTACCTCCTTTCCGAGAACAATTTTTCATGTGCATACACTGAAACAGATGTCATAAGTGACATCAACAAACGATGCCACTTGTCCAAGCTCCTCATTAGACCCCTGTCTTGCTCTGCATTATCCAGTTGCAACCAAGATCAAGAAGTCTGATTTTTCACTGGATCTCTGTAATGAGTTCAACCTTTCCTAATTTGCCACCTTCAGACGCAGCTGTGTGTTGTCAGATTATTGAAATTTAAAATACTGTCTTGACAAAATTTCATGTAACTTCTTGGTTATTGTTTTGGTGGACTACTTCAATCGTACCAGCACTGTCAATTGGAAGTAGGTGAATATTTTAAAAATGTATTCAGTAAAAGATACACTAGATGTGCTTCAAGTACACAGAGGTATTTGGGAGGGAGGTCAGCTCCTTAACATCAGTTGTTAGAATAATTGGAAAAATACTAATCAGTATTTTTTCCTCTTGCTTCATTCTGAGTTTGTGCTTCTTTGAGCTCATTGCACTTCTTATTTTTGTGAAGATAACCCTGGCCTTTGCAGGTCAGGGACAGAGATTTCATTCCCAGGCACAGTCTGCAAATTTTAAATTATTATCTGCTCTGTTTAAGCTTTTACCAACAAATTAGTATTTCAGGATTTTTAGTGTGTTTCAAATATGCTACTGGTTCCCCCCCGGCAATACACCAGAAGTTACTGGTGGAGGTGAGCTAAGAAGTGAGCAGGAAAGGCGTTTGTCATGGTTTTCTTACAAAAGACTTGGAAAGCATGGAAGGAGTTTTGTCTCACCTTATTTTTTTGGAGATCTGAAATGCTGTCTATTCCTAGTATAAGACTTGGTATGGACAGGAACTTTTTTTAAAAAAAGATCTGTTTTTCTGCTTGAATAAAATAAGATGGGGGATTTTCTTGTTGGGGATATTTTTAGATTTCTAAGGACTGACTGAAAAATGTCAATCAATGCCTTCAATGAAATGTGGGACTTTGCAATTAAAATTTTCTGCTTTCCTTTCATATTTTTTGTCCAAATGTGACATGGCAAAGAACTAGGAAATGTTTTGTTTCTACATATTTTAGCTGCCAAAAATAACTTTTCAATTTTGGGTTACATAAAGTAGAAATGAGTCTTTGGATGAAATTTCCCTGAATGGAAGGGGACACTGGAAATTCATTTTCTATCAGCTCTAAATTTTATTTAGATTTGAATAAAATTGCCTGCCCTCTCAGTTAATCACCATTTTCCTGTTTGGCATTCATTATAACCTACTAGTTTTTTGGGAGGCCCAGGGTAAGGTGAGAAGAAAAGATCTGACAGCAGAGGGGAGGAAAAAAAGCCACCAAAAATTCCTCTGATACGTCTTTCATTGCATTTGTTAAAATGAATGTTTGTTGGAGAGAGGGAGATTCATACAAATCTAGATTTAAATAACACAGGACAGTGACAAAGAAGTGAACCATCTTGGGAAATTACTCTGAATTTCCCAGCTTTTGTCAGGTTTGTCACAGCCTTATCGTTTGCGGGGTTATTTTGTGTGTGTGTCGGTGGAATCCTTCTGACTCGTACACTAAAATTGGGAGTGTTCAAAGTATCACATTTTCATCTTACTACTTATCTCCCTGATCTTAGAGATGAAAACATACCCCATAGTGTGTTAGATGTAAAAGCCATATGTAGGTGATGATATAGATGGCTATTAAGGGAGTTGATATAGTTAGCAACAGAGACATTGTATCTAGTCACTCTTTTTTTTTTTCTCTTTTTTCCCTTGTAATTGGCTACAAGTGGCTCTAGATTCCCAAGGAGGGCCTTTCTCCACGACTTCATCATCAGCTGCCTGCCACTGCATTTGTATTTTCTTTGTTTCTTCTTTTCTCTCTAATTCATATTTTTCTTTTGACTGGAGGTGGAATGACACATCTTTTGAGCCCCCCCTTCGCAATGTTTTTCTCCTCCTTGAGGGTTTCTCAGAAGGGTTGGTATCTCCACAGGGCAAAATTGACCCTTCTGGAAGACCTTCCAGCTGTGCTTTTGCACAGAACACCTGCATTTTTTTCCCCCAGAGCCAAAATCTTTATCCACAAACATTAACTAGAAAGTTTTGTTAGGTATTTCATTAGTACTAATTGCTTGTGTCCTTTTTCCCATAGACCCCGACTGGGCCAGCTTGAATCTGGGAGCCCTCATATGTATCGAATGCTCAGGTATACACCGAAACCTTGGCACACACCTCTCCCGGGTCCGCTCTCTCGACCTGGATGACTGGCCTATAGAGCTCATCAAGGTGATGTCTTCTATTGGGAATGAGCTGGCAAACAGTGTCTGGGAGGAGAGCAGCCAAGGCCACATGAAACCTTCATCAGACTCCACAAGGTAGGCTTTTCTACTCCATCTCACCATGGCATGCAGCAGGCAGGTAGTATGTGATACTGCACATGGCCAAGGCTGTAGCACATAAATCCTCATTTTGGCATTGCAGTAGGGGCTGGTAGGGCATTACATCATACAACATGGACTTTTAAAATTCTCCCTTGGAGTAAGCCTTGTAAAAATCATTACATATATATATCTTCATTGCATGCCCAGGAAGACCGTATGTCAAAGGGGGGTGGGTGTGAAAAGTTGAGTGACCTCACCTGGAGTACTGCGTCCAGCTCTGGAGCCCTCAGCACAAGAAGGACATGGACCTGTTGGAGCGGGTCCAGAGGAGGGCCACAAAAATGATCCGAGGGCTGGAGCACCTCTCCTACGAGGACAGGCTGAGAGAGTTGGGGTTGTTCAGCCTGGAGAAGAGAAGGCTGCGAGGAGACCTTATTGCGGCCTTCCAATACTTAAAGGGGGCCTATAGGAAGGATGGGGGCAATCTTTTTAGCAAGGCCTGTTGTGACAGGACAAGGAATAATGGATTTAAACTAAAGAAGAATAGATTTAGACTAGACATAAGAAAGAAATTTTTTATGATGAGGGTGGTGAAGCACTGGAACAGGTTGCCCAGAGAGGTAGTGGAGGCCCCATCCCTGGAAACATTCAAGGTCAGGTTGGATGGGGCTCTGAGCAACCTGATCTGGTTAAAGCTGTCCCTGCTCACTGCAGGGGGGTTGGGCTAGATGACCTCTAAAGGTCCCTTCCAACCCAAAGCATTCTATGATTCTATGATTACTTTTCACTCTTGTGAGGGTTTCCTCAGCAGTTCTACAACTTTTTTGTTCAATTGACTGACCAAAAAAACAGTGGGAGATTGAAACCTCCTGCCTTGTTGTTCCTCAATCTAAATTATACTGTAATGAGTTTCTTTGTTTCAGTCAGCCACAAAGTTCCTGGCTCTTGGACTATCAGTTTGTGATTAATAATCTGCCTTCAGTAGTTCAAGCTCACCCAGGAATTTGTACCTGGCCATCAGGTCTTTGGGTTCTCATCATGGATCTTGAAAGTCTTGCTCACTGTGGACTTGCTTTTTTTTTTTTTATGTGAGGTATGTGAAGGCATACATCAACATAAGTTCATGGGGGAGCGTGTGCTTCCTCTGAGAACAGTATTTTACCTACCAGTCATGGGTCAGCACAGTGAAAGTCTTCTTTCTGCGATGCATTGTCCTACCAAAAGCTAAAGTGGTTTTATGCTTAATTTATCTGATCAGTGTCAAAGGAGAAAGAAGTTCTGAAAATACAAAATGTAAGTGCTAATAGTTATAACTAAGGTATTGACTTGGGGGAAGCAGAGTGACCGCTGGCAGACTGCGTTTCAGCAGCGGGGTTCAGGCAGGAGAAGGACCTTCTAGACTAACTTGCACAGCTTGGCCAATCTTTGAAGTTTTCTTCAGAAGGCGTTATAATTGTCTTAGGGCAAGCTCCAGGGAGCCTGCATCCGAGCACTGGTCAGTCCCCAGGTAGTAAACGGCATGATGGAGGTTTAGCTCTGTGTTTGCCTCCTGCATGTGAGAGGAATCAGAGGGAATTATATTCTGATTTTGTTTATGTATGTATTCTGGATCCTGCTTTTTTCAGTGCTGGATCAAGTGAAATTATAACCTGGAAGCATACACCTGGGCCACCTCCTAGGAGTGGGTTTGTACTGTTGTCTGTAATAGGCAACTGTTTCTTCTTGCATTATTTCATTAGCACTGAAAAATGAATTTGTGGTGCCACCTTTGGTTCATCTTCGAGAATGAAGCCAGTACATTAATCAGGCTACTTAGATGAATGACTATGCATATAAAAATGTTCAGGGAGACCTACACAGAGATTTTGTTGATACATAAACTGTATGTCTGCTGTACACGTGTATATTATCAGACAGCTAATGTAATGATTTCATCAGGTAGATTGAAATCAACTTATTGCTGCATTTCAGTCATTAATATTACTTTAATCCAGAGATCTTACATTGTTGCAACTAACAAATATATGCTGCTCTTTACTGCTGAGGTAAACTGGAGAGATACCTGAATTCTAAATACTTTTAAAAGGTAAAGGCATACCCTCAATTGGATTTTTATTTTTTAAAAAAATACTATTTTAGTGTACATATAATGAAGATAATATCATGAAAAATCTAAAATACATGTGACTGTGATGAAAAGAGAGCCATCCATTTGAATTAAATTATTCAGGTTTTTATGTTTGGAAGTGAGTTTTACTTATAGAAAATCAATTTTGTTCTCTTTGTATTTCATGCTCAGAGCTTATTTTAATTCTTCTTTGTTTCTGTACATCTTCGTGTTTATATTCAGCTGTTTATGTTTGTCAGTGACATAATTGCACTTTTTTCCTGTACTCCAACATTTTTTAACAAAAAGTATAAATATTCATTTTATAAATATGCATTTCCATCTGTGTGTCCAAGTGCACACTTAGGTGATGGAAGCACTGTTAGAAAAAATAGAATTAAGATTATGTGAAAATTTTCCTGCAAAGCAATTGTAATCCTGCTTTGCTATTCCCATTTTTTCCACTGCTTGCAGCAGGGACTGAAGTGATATTTTTCACATAAATACCTGAAAGGTCTGCTTTTTGAAAGTATGTGCCTCCTTTTGTGCTTTACTTTGTTCTCTACTAGCATCATAATCCTTCTGTCCAAGACGTGGCAAGAAAATAAGTTCAAGTTCTTTAGATATGTTATGTATTCCATTTTTGCACTGCTGTTTGCAGTTTTGCATGAGGAATCCTATCAGAAGCAGCTACAATGGACCTGAAGTGGGGTTAAACAAACCCCCCTTTTTTTGTTGTTGAAGGACTGAAGAGGGAAGAAGCAACTGAAGTTGAGGGACTGGGGGAAGAGGCAAGAAAGTAAGCAAGCAGAAGGATGACTGGGGAGCTTAGATTTGGAGTCCTGGTGGAGGAGGGATGGAGGAAGTCCAAGGATATCTGGAGATCAGGGAAGAAAGAATCATTCAGCAAAACTTCTTCTGAAGGGGAAGAGAGATGATAGTAGTGTTGTGGGGCTGTTCCTGCCCATGCTGGTGGGCTCTGGGGTCAGCTGGAGTCTGAGAGCTGCTATATGCAGAGGTTCACGCACTCAACGTTCTCCTGCTTTAATGAGTTCTCTTCTCACCAAAACCCTATCAGATGAGAGGGGGAAGTACTCCCATGTTTTCCTCCAAGTTTCTTCTGAACTTGTTCATATCCCCGTTCCCTTCTGGAGCCCCACTTACTACATCTGCCCTACGTAGTGCTCCCGTTTTCAGTTCCACTACATATACTCATTAATCCATCCTCCGTGGCTTTCCACATGTTTGCTCAGACTTTCAGGCTGTGCCTGCAAGCAAAGTGTTGGAAGCACAAGGGCAGAAGATTTCTGAACCATTCCCCCAACTGATTCAAAGGCGTAGCACAAAGCATCAGTAAAAGACCTTAGACAAATACAATCTTCTCACATGTTTCTTTATGATAGGCATGTCTCTTAACTCTTCTGTCTCCACTGTGTCCCCTGTCTGCCACCCACCCCAAAGCACCAAAAGTTGTCAGCACAGTGATGGGCCCTCTGTTAATAGACATTTGTAGAGGGGATCGGACATACATAGGTTTCACCATTTCTTGTTGTGTCTTTCTGTTGGAGATGAAGCCATCAGTGGAAATGCACAGGCTTTCTAGGGGCAAAAAAAGGCTTATTGACTGCTCTACAAATACTGAATCTGTTGGGCTGGGAGGCTCAAGGAGCATTCACATGCTGGACTAAAAGGAACCTGGAAGTCTTGACATGGCTTCAAAAGCAGTCCCTTCAGCTTGGGAGAAGTCAGCACTGATCGCTGAATCATTGCAGTGGCATCCCATGTGTTTCCACTGAGTAGAGGGAAGGGTGGAGAGACCCAGGGAGACCGATGTTTTGCAGGAGGGATTGCCAAATGGCTACTGTAGGCCATGGCATAATTAAACAGTCTTACACAGAAAATGTCACCAATATTTATAAAAATAGAGATATGCCAGGCTTTGAGTACAGCTTGCATTTTTAATTTTGTACACTCTAATGGTAACGCGTGCCAGGTCTCATAAAGTCTGAGAGGCAGCTTATAAAATAAGTAGATCCCTAGGTCGTTCGGTGTCTCTGGATCAAAAGCAACACCTTCGATGGCCTCTAGCATTAATCTGGAAGGCAGCGCAGGTTATGGGAGCACAGGTGCAATGGCATCCCTAAGGAAGCAGCATAGAGTAAAGCAGTAGCATAAAGCAAAGTTCAGACTGAGGGTGTTGGTGTGATTATGGGGAGGAAAGAGGAATAAACATGAGCTCCCGGTGAGCATGGAAAGTTGGCGAAGCGGCAGAAAACCCAAGTACAAGCAAATACGTGCATGTGGAAGCGAAAGGGGACCAGCTGGCCTCTGAGCGGTGGTGTCCGTGGGTTCCTGATTAGGTCAGCTTTGGAAGGCTGGTAATTGGTTCCAGCAATTACCAGCAGCCCTGAGAACCGCCGCTCAAACTTCGGGAGCCCTGTGACAAATTGAAGCTGACTGCTGGTAAAGGAGTATCGACTTCCTATTTCTAAACAGGGGGATCATTAGTCAAGAAAAGCATCTTTTAATTACTTGCAGGAAGGGGGGAAAAAAAGGAGGAAAAAAAGAAAAAGATCTTTCAGTATGGATCCTGCAACAACTGCCATTTTTTTTCCAAGTGTATTCAATATTAAATTTATTGTCTTGGAGGGGAGGAGGTGAGCAGGGAGAGTTTGCCTGCGGTCCCTCCTTCAGTAATGTGGGTTTAATTTGGAGTGAGAAGTCAAATTAGAGTAAATCAATGTTGCGACAATTAACTGGGTCTAGGGATGAGATCAGGATTTTCCCTCTAATTGCTATTGATACTATTTAAGCACACTCTTAAAACATTGATTTGGAGTGGTGCGACACAGGAGTAGCCCAGTGGGGCAGGGGCAGAACTGCTCCG